TGAGCGATGACGCGTGCGGCGTGGTGGTCAGCCCTGATAATAATCTTCGTGCCTATTTGAGGCATGCAACACCGCGATGGATCTCGGCGTGTAGACGCGTTCGTTTTCGCGGAAGTCAGACTCCACAGCAGAACTTGATCCATCTAATTGCTGCGGATGACGTGTTGACGCAGGACTCCAAGTTCTGTTGCGCGCAGCCACGAGTCACTTTGTGACGCTGAGTCTGAGGTCGTCGGCGACGGAAGCAGATCGCGATGCCAAAGTCTCCGGGGTACATAGAAATAGTGAGATGGTCGGCGACGGAAGCTGATCGCGATGCACAGTGTCGAGAGACGCCGGGACGCCGCCGACGTCATTGATCTTGAGGTACGCCACCTGGTTCGCCGGAGGATCAAGCGCACATCCCTACCTGACGCGTCAACTGTCGACAAAAGATGCTCGGCAGTCCTCCGAGGGGTATCCCACGAAGGTAGATTGATCGGTGGAGGTGCGCGTAATCAGGAACCGGATGGTGACACAAGGCACAGAGACAGCGATTTAGACAGGTTCGAGCCGTCTGATCGACGTAATACCCTACGTCCTGTGTCTTTGGTGTATTGTATTAAATATGAGATATCGATGTCCACTAGGGGACCCCTGCCTCTCCTTATATACTCTGGAGAGATAGGGTTACAAGTAAAGTATCATATTTGGTACTATACAATATTTTGTGGTGCACGTCGATCAGTGCCGTGCACGCCTTGATCTTGTGGGCTATCTTGTCTTGTGAATACCGGGGTGATATCCCCACACGAATCTTTTAAGTCTAATTAGTTCATGATTTGACAATGTGATGCTACAATAATACATGTGCTAATGACAGATTAATTAGGCTTCATAAATTCGTCTCGTGGATTATTGACGGATTCTGTCATTTATTTTTTTATTAGTATCCGAACACCCTATGCGACACCCCTATGTGACACTCTATGTGACACCCCAAACTTTACACCCTGAATTTAAACAAGACCTAAGTTAGATTATTTTTGTTGATCAAGGACAATCCTATTAAGGGTTATCTAGAGTCGGTCCTGGCCCAGATTATATAAATAAGAGCAAACATGATTTCGATATTAACCCTTTCTTTGAATGCCTAGGAATAATGAGATTTGTAACCACTTATTTAAATTGGATACTAGTTCATTCTAGTACCCGTGTAGTACTGAAGTGAGTCTTTAAAAGTACTGAAGTGAGAGAGGTAGCCGTTAACACCGTACGTGCCGGTGTGGCACTGATTTTTGTGCTTTGCGGCATATACTCATGGTGAATCATGATGAGGGCATGAGGCTGGAGATACATATGTTCAGTCTGCCTCCTTTACCCCTACACAAAAATCAAAATAGTTGGTAAACCCAAATAGTAAGGACAGAACACATGAACTGGCTGTGAGGGTCATTTATTGGGTGTGAGCTGAGCTTATATTAATACTAGATGCGTGAATAACATAATAAAAACATGTAAGCTTCCAGCGCTCGGATGCAAGGACATATCTTTCAACATATATAAATGGTTAGGCGAGCCAAGGATAATTTGTTGGCCCTCTCAAACTGTTTCTTCTCGAACATGCTAGTTTGAAATATATGCATGCATGCTTGTTGTGAGATACTGGAGGCAAACAAGTCGGCTCTCTGTCACTATATCTATAATGAAGAGGAAGCGTTATCGGATTTGGTGGAGAAGGAACAATTAGGTTTTTTATTTTGTCTCACTCCCGAGGTTTTGGCTTTGTATTGCAAAATAAACACGTACCTCCTGTTGAATCCCTTTTGCATTGGTTGCTACCTATTAGAGTCCACTTTAAGTTAATACAAATCTCTCTATCAAATGAGTTTGGTTGTATGGAAGGTGAATCTTTCTCCAAATGGTGTTGAGGCAGGTGTACATAGCTAGTAAATTTGACTACAATATCATATCATTTCTTATATAAAAAAGGTTGAAGCCATTAACTAGCACTAAAGACATTCTGTGTTTTTGTTGTTACGTTGTTGCTAGACCCTTTGGGTCATTGTTCCTCCATTGTATTGCCTACTCTGGGTTTTGTCTTCTTTTTAATATAAATTGACAGCTTTTCTGCATGATTCACTTAAAAAGTTACTATGATTTTGTCTTTACCATTGTAAGTTTTTATTTATAGCCCATACTTTGTTCATGTGAAAAGTACAGAAAAAAAGACATAGGGACTGCCCTCTCTCCTCTTCTAACCAGTCTATGTTAGTACAAAGAGCCACTCTGGAATTATTTTTTCCCGTGGTACTACATTTCTCGAGTGGTCCATTGAGGAGTTTGAGTAGTTGGAGCCAGAGGCAATCGAACCACTCAAACTAACTAGAGGAAAGTTTCTGTAGGTAATAGTCTTTTGCATGGCAAGCGAACCATTCAAAATTAATTAAAACTAGCAAATATGTCCGTGCGTTACAACGGGATGTATTACTTGTTGTACGGTCACTTGAACGATCTAGGGATTTATTTAATGATCTTGTCATCTATTGTGACACGTCTTAGAAGAGAACTCCGTACCATCTTTGGACACATCTTGACATCGGACTCCTCATTGTCAACGGACACGTGTCATTTGAGGATGAATTGTGAGTCTTGATTATATACACGAGTATGAGGGTATATTGCAAAAAGTAGAAAAAAATTGGTTAGAAAGTACTCTTTTTACTTTATATATTGGTGCGATACACCTAAACGTACAACCTATTATACGATAACCTGGTAACTTTCCAGTTTGAAGAAAAAGAAAATTGAAAATAGAAAAACACCAAAAGAAAAGACACGACAAAATTTTTATAAAATAATAAAAAGGAAAACATAAACGGAGAAACACAATGGAACGTAAATTGAAAAGAGAAAAAAGACATGGGAAAAATTAAAACGAAAAGGAAAACAAAAAAAATCTGGAAAAACAGGAAAACTCCTGAACGGACTTACCTAACGGAAGTTGTGCTAGGCAGATGGAACGGAGATGAAACATGAGAAAGATTAAAAAAGAATAGAAATGGGATGAAAACAAAAAAAACCTTCATGATATAATAATATTAGGGATAGATTGCAAATATATCCATGTGTTGTATTGGAACCCAATACATTGAAATCGGACTACGTATCATCTCTAAACGTAAGTTGTTCTAACCCGTATTGGTATGGCTTATGAGTCTAGGTCACACACATGATACAGAGGACATGTTTTGGAATCTGACTTCATATCCATCGTCGCTAGATGAGAGTTATTGTAACTCATATCCGTATAGACACGGATCATGAGTAAAAAAAAATCAGAAATAGAATAAACCAAGCGGAAAAAAATAAGAAACAACGGGGGAAAATCAAACCAAGGAAATAAACCGAGCGCAACAAATAAAATTCCAAAACACGGAAACCAAATCGGAAACATAGAAAAAGACAAAACTCAAATCGGAAAGAAAGCATTGATCAGAACAAAGATCGGTAAGAGATGCAAAATTAGAAAAAGCGGAAACAACAAGTGTAGAGCTAATAAAAACAAATAAGATGGAGTACTTTTTTAGTAGGAATAAAAAAGTGGGTTAAAAAACACTTTGCTCTTTAATATTAACTAGCAAAAATGGCCGTGCGTTGCAACGGAACACATGGTTTATTGTATGATTCTCGTACCAATAGTGATAAACTATCTAAGTTTATTGAATTTATTAATTGGGCTTAATTCAGCCTTAAATAAATCAAATAAATTATTAGGCCTGCCGCCCTTAACTTGCGTATTTGGTCGGTGGAGACGTACGGAGAAGAGGGGCGAGTGGGTGGAGATAGCAGCCATAGTTTATATCAACTAAAATTTCTCTTTTATATGTTTTTTCTTCTATATGCATTTGGGGATTATATAACCCAACTGAACAAAAACTAATATGGAGCATCACCCTCGAATCTAAGAAGCCTGAAGAGAAGGCAGTAGCCATTGGCATATTTTAAAAAGCTAGAAAATAAATGTCATCCAAGTACATGTCCTTGAGAGACATATCACTGGATGGCCATTAGAACTGCAAATCGGAAGAGAATCAGAGCAAGTTTACACATCTTGAAATTATTAGGACTTCCCAACTGATTTACTTGTTTCTACTTATACTGTGCATACTTTGAACCGTAATCACATGTCTATCTAAAGTAAATTGGCAAGTCTAGCAGCAGACATATTTTAACATTTGCAAGATTATTTTAATATATGCAATACCATATTTTCATAGTTTTTATTTTATTTTTTTGTCTTGACAGATTATTATCTATATGAAATACTACATTTTCATAGTTTATTTATTTTTGTCTTGCCACTCATAATGGTGTTTGTACGTAAAAAGTTTAAAGGTGTTAGAGATAAATATAATAAGGCTCTTTAAAACCTATTTAAGTTAGTGTAGTGTAGTGATAAGCCCTAGTTATTAGGCGAGGGAGACCACGGTTCGAAACCCCCATCCAGCCAGTTGTTTTTTGGCTTTTTCCCTCTCCTGCTCAGGTGGGCCGCGAGTGGGCCGGTAGCTGGAGTTCCCTCGCCTGCGCAAGTGGGCCAGTCAGTCTGGTAGCTGAGCGAATCACGGGTGGGCCTTGAGTAGAGAGCGAGTGGACCGGACAGTTAGACTGTCAGTTGTTCATATGGGCATCCATACTAAAATGGGTCTCGAAAACAAAGCACCTATATGCGAGACCTATTTTAGCTTACAGCAAAGTCATAATCTAAATATAAGTATTATCTCTTCTAAAGACTCATTTAAAGAAAGAATTCTTTTTTGGGTCCTGTTGTTGAAGAAGATTAAAAATAGGTACGGAACCTTTTACCTGTGAAATGGGTCTTGTATTTTGGGTAGTGTTGTTGAAGATAGCCTTAGGCTATATAAAACCAGCACCTCGATCCTTCTGGTCACAGACTCACAGGCCACCCTATTTCTTACACCATTCGTGCGGTGCCCGCCGGAAGTTAGCTTAGCACGTCCATGGCGCCCACGGAGGAATCTGCTTCTGCTATGCCAGCGCCACCACCGCCACCTCATTTCGTCATCGTCCCCCTCGTGGAGCAGGGCCACACCATCCCCATGGTAGACCTCGCCCGCCACCTGGCGGAGCGCGGCGCGCGCGCGAGCTTGGTGACGACACCGGTGAACGGCGCACGGCTGCGTGGCGTCGCCGAGCAGGCCGTGCGCACTAATCTGTCCCTCGAGATCGTCGAGCTCCCGCTGCCGACGGACACCGACAACGGCCTGCCCCCGGGCATCGAGAACGTGGACCAGGTCACGGACAACGGTCACTTCATCCCCTTGTTCAACGCCGTGCAGAAGCTCGCCGGACCGCTGCAAGCGTACCTGCGAGCGCTGGCGCTGCGTCCGAGCTGCATCATCTCCGACTGGAGCAACCCGTGGACGGCCGGCGTGGCCAGAAGACTCGGCATCCCTCGCCTCTTCTTCCACGGGCCGTCGTGCTTCTACTCGCTCTGCGACCTCAACGCCATCGACCACGGGTTACGCGAGTAGACCGGGGCGACCGACGACGACCAGGAGAGGTTCGTGGTGCCAGGCATGCCGGTGCACGTGGAGGTGACCAAGGCCACGGCGCCGGGTTTCTTTAACTCGCCGGGGTGGGAGGCGCTCTGGACGGAGTGCGTGGAGGCCATGCGCACGCCCGACGGCGCGGTGGTGAACACGTTCGCGGACCTCGAGGGCCAGTTCGTGTCGTGCTACGAGGCGGCGCTCGGCAAACCCGTGTGGACGCTTGGCCCTCTCTGCCTCTCCAACCGGGACGTCGAGGCCATGGCGTCGCGCGGGGACACGTCGTTGGACGGCGTCCGGCTGCAAAGCGCGGTGGCCGCCTGGCTCGACACGAAGGACACGGACTCCGTCGTGTTCGTCAGCTTCGGCAGCCTGGCGCGGAAGCTCCCGAAGCAGCTATTCGAGGTCGGCCACGGCCTCGAGGACTCCGGCAGGCCGTTCCTCTGGGTGGTGAAGGAGGCCGAGGTGTCCGCTGCGGTGCCGGAGGTGCAGGAGTGGCTTGGGGCGCTAGAGGCGCGCACGGCGGGGCGCGGCCTCGTGGTGCGCGGCTGGGCGCCGCAGCTGGCCATCCTGTCCCACCGCGCCGTGGGCGGGTTCGTCACCCACTGCGGCTGGAACTCGCTGCTGGAGTCCGTGGCGCACGGCGTGCCCGTGGTGACGTGGCCGCACTTCGCCGACCAGTTCTTGAACGAGCGGCTGGTGGTGGACGTGCTCGGCGTCGGCGTGCCCGTCGGCGTCACGGCGCCCGTGATGATGTTCGACGACGAGAACGTGGCGGTGGCGCGTGGGGACATCGTGCGAGCGGTGTCGGCGCTGATGGGCGAAGGGGAGGAGGCGGACGAGAGGAGGAGGAAGGCCAAGGAGTACGGGGAGAAAGCTCATGTGGCCATGGCGAAAGGAGGGTCGTCGTATGAGAACCTGACGCAACTGATTGAGAGCTTCAGGCAATGTGGAGGCAGAAAAGGGTAGGCTAGAACAGTGCATGCATGGACTACCATCTCAATGGCAGTACGGATGCAGGAGCTTGCAAATTGAAATGTTGGTTTTCATCAACGGTATGGTATGTAAGTACGTTTTTCCTTTTTTTTTGGAAACTGGTATGTAATGTAGTAACTAGTATGTAACAACCAGTGATTGTGTTCCATGGTTTTCTTTTTACACTCGAATATTTTCCTGCTTCAACAGTAGATTTGTATATTTACTAATTGTAGCGTGCAACATGTACAGTACGTGAACAGCTCATCATCTTCTTGCAATGTCAAGTGTGTTTGGGGAGAACCCCAGCCAATTCTTCTGAGCCCTGTTTGTTTCGGTGAAAAGTCAGGTTAGAAAGTACTGTTCACTAATTTGGTGTGAGAGAAAAACACTATACTATAGCTGATAAGTCAGGTTGATAAGTCGAACAGAAATGATGTTCCAGCGATTTGAAGATCTTTGTCGCCGACGGTGAATCGCTATTTGTGGTCATGAATTGCAAGGAAAATCTACGTCGACTATCTTTATAGTGTATCTGTTCTAATCTCTCACAACAGTGACAAGCAAAACAAATTGTTCTTGAGAAACACGAGGATCGATGTTCAAAGGACCTTTAATTTTTATTTACACCGGCCAGAGCGTCATATCATATATATGCATATTTCTCGCATGCCAGTACATACGTAAGTCTTTTTTTTCCTCTGTGGTGAACATACAAGCGGACCTCCAAGTCAGGCCGGTAAATACGGAAAGGAGATCGATTATTTTTTTGAAAGGTACGTTTTTGATAGGAGATGTGCTTCTATCTCTGTTCGTCCCATTCAGATTTTTCTTTTCATAGACGACACCTATATTTTTCACCATTCTGTACACGTGTTCTCTGTTATGATGTCTCTCCGGAGAGGGTTCAATCTCCGGAGCGTTGTCATAAAATCTAAAGAATAATTTGCTGCGGTATTTGTGACTTGTCTTTAAGAAGCGTCGGTTCCTTAGGTAAATTACCTTCATGGATGCATCCAGGTACACCCATGTAGTACCATCCAAGCAAACCAAGCATCCCGTCTTTCTTTTGATCTGTCCAGACAAAGCAAACAGCGCGGGGTAATCATTGGTAGTAACAAATATTATTGCTCTACATATGAAGTCCTCCTTTCGGAACGCATCGTACATCTACTCCCCATGCCTCCATAGCCTCTCCATTTCTTGCATCAAAGGCTCAAGGAACACGTCTATATCAATGCCTAGTTGTTTAGGGCCAGAAATAAAAATAGTGAGAAGAAGATACTTTCTCTTCTGACACAACCATGTTGGGATGTTGTACATGGTCAAGATCACTGGCCATGTGCTGTGGTCGCTCATCCTCTCATTGAAGGGATTCATTCCATCGGTGCTCAAGCCAAACCGTACATTCCTTGGGTCATCCTGAATTCTTTGTGCTTCTCATCAAACCTTTGCCACTGACTACAATCAGCCGGGTGTGCAATCTTATCATCATTCACCTTGCGCTCATCATCCCACCATGTCATGAGTGCGGCTTCTTTAGGGTTTAGGAAGATACGTCTCAAACGGTCGGTCACTGGCAGGTACCACATTACCAAGGCAGGAATTCTTCTCTGCTTTGCATCGTTGCCTAATGGAGTGTCCTTTGGGGGCTGAGATTCTTGTACCACCTTTTTTTATCCTTCTTATTTCTCTTTTTCCCCGTGGAGGCTTCGTCCCCACCGTAAATGTCACTGTTCTTATACCGGCTGGCCCCACACTGGGGACATTTATCTAGTGACTTGAACGTTTCGCCACGAAAAAGTATACAGTGGTTGGGGCATGCATAGATTTTTTAACCCCCATTGTCAATGGACTTATGACCTTCTTCGTTTGGTATGTGTTGGCGGGAACCGAGTTTGGTTGTGGCAGCACCCATGACAGGAGATGCAACAGATCATTGAAAGTACAGTCTGACCAGCCGTACTTAGCCTTCAGGATGAGCAGCTCAAGCACAAAACTTAGCAATGTCCAATGTGTCGGACAACTCTTTTCAACACTATACACAGTCTCCTTCGATGCTTTTGTCACCCTTTCTAATTTTTCTAGATCTTTCGGGCTATTTAGTAAAATCTCTGATCCAATTTTATTAAACATAAATTTACAAAAACAAAATTAATAAAAAACCAAACCCTAAATCTAGATCTACATGCACATAAAACATGCATAAAACTAACTAATTGTTCACTAAAATCAAGAAACATGGACCAAATGAGGGTATGATCTTGTTCCCCTCCCTAATTTATCATAGTACATTTAAAACTTGGGTCTAATTTGCTTTATAAGTTGCTCAAGCACCATAGAAGAGAGAGAAAAATAAAACTCTAATTACTCACTAACCAACCATTAAAACTTCAAAAAAAGTATGGAATAGCATTTTCTTACTTTCTACAACCTCTCCACCAAAGGATTTAAGACCGAACCTTTCCCCCTTAGTAGAACAATTTTTGGGAGGTGTCCAATGCCTCCTCACCTTTGTTTTACGGGTTGAAGTGAGTGACCCGAGGAGGAAGAAGATGCTGCAGCTGTTTTATATGTGGGTCATTTGTAGGGGCGGCTGGTGATTGAGCCGCCCCTACAAATCGGAGCTATATATACGGGGGCATTTGTAGGGGCGGCTCAATCACCAGCCGCCCCTGGTGATTGAGCCGCCCCTACAAATCAGACCCTTTTTATAGGGGCGGCTCGTATCACCAGCCGCCCCTGCTATTCTATTTGTAGGGGCGGCTGGTGTCTGGGCATCCGAGCACGCCACTGTAGGGGTGGCTCCATCACCAGCCGCCTCTACAAAAAATTCGAACCATTGCTAAAAATCATTTTTACGTAGTTTTAGCTGATTGATCGAGTTTTTCTGTTCAAGTTCTTGACTTAGAGTGAGTGTCTACAACTTTTTCAGGATTTTTTAGTGGTACATGAGGTGTTTGCCGACAGCGATGCATCGTCTGGCGGTTCAGTCTCATTCTTTCGAAGGTATTTGTAGGAGCAGGGTGTGTACGTGTGTTCATAGGAGTAAGGCCGAGCCGATGAGGTGGTCATGCATGTACGATATGTACGTGCGTTTGTAGGTGTGAGTATACGTGCATGTGTGAGTACTGTGATTCGCAAACAAACTCGTAGAACTTAGAGTAACTCTAAAATCATCTTTATATCATTCCTGATTGACAGGAGTATAGATTTTAGTGAGAAAAAAAATGCTCTGCAAGAACTTCTTTAATTGGATCTTTAAATATTGTCATTCTTTATTCTAGATTTTTTGATAGCCAAAGACGAAGAGCAAGAATGACTCACAAGAAGTAAAAAAACTATTAGAAAGTGAAATAATATAGAAAATAATTTTTATTCAAATAGCTTTTCAAATAATAATTTAGAAAACGAGTTTAATAAAGACTCTTAAAGATCCTCTTAGCAGCCAGGTCTCGCATCATCAGATCTTGAGGACAAAGTTGTTTGCGGCTGCTTTAATAAAACTTGCAGATCTCGCATCATCAGATCTTGACGACAAAAAATTGTTTGCGCCGCTGCTTTCTTGTCCTTGCATGCGCATGGTTTTCAACTAGACATCTAGCAAGTACGTAGCAATTAGCGAAGTACTATACTGTATGTTCAGTTGTTCAACTTGTTATCCTTAGTGTGTACGGCAAATAATGTGTGTTTTCCTAGACCTGAATTTCAGGATGGTTGCAGCCACTAGCCAGAAGGTGATTGATTGCTCTCCCTTGAACCATGCATAACCATCAGCTAGATGTTCTTCTACAGCTCTAATCCTGGTAGCACTTAGGAGTGGTAATGCTCTAGCTAGACCTCATTTTCACCTGCACTTTTTTTACCGCATTTTTATCGATGTGAAAACGAGCAACTAGGAACTTATTAGTCATTTCAAAATGATTCACGAGAGAGGATACTCAACTTTTAATATGAGCGTCGAGTAAAAGGTGATGGACGAAGGAAAAAGCCCATTCCCATTAGTTCAGTTAAAAGTGATGGTGGTTAGAAACTTAGAACGAACCATCACTATATCAACTCAACGGTGATGTGTTTCTCACTGCGGTGCTTTGGCTGCCCAACCAGTTTGCTGGTGAACCAAACGGACGACAAAGCTTAGACGACACGACTCCTGGAAATGGTGCCCACAAATTAAAACATATGCTTCAATGTGATCGGCGTGCAAAAGGGGAGGCATATGTATATCCCAGGGCAAATTTGGGAACGAGGAGGCCACGAGACAAACGAGATCCGTCGCGCCGTGCAGGACTCGTGCAGTTCGTTATGCATGCGTTTGTGCGGGAGAAGAAGACAAAGGCAATCATACACCTGCTCGAGATCGAGAAGCGTGCGGGGCTGGGCACTGGGTTGGCTGCCATTGGTCGGCAGGCAATGCCGGAATTACGGCCCTGTTCGCTTGCGCTGCTTTTCAGTTGTGGAACAGTGTTTTTCTCCTACAATATTTCAGTATAAGTATCAGCACAAACCAAATTTTAGCATAAGCGAACAGGCCATATGGTGCACCATACGTGCATGACTGTACACTGATGTGTTCGTTCCATACTTATTACGGTAATGCTCAGGGTCGAGCGTCCGTCCGATCGAACGCCCCTTTCTAGGCCTGCACGCGTGTTACCAGCCCAACAAACCTGCCTCCATCTCTGTGTGTCTCCCCCATCTCTCTAAAAATCATCTTCCTACTCGCTCGTCCATCACACACTTCACGGCGATGTGCGGCCGTTAGCCCGCCCCACTCCGCATTCGCCGTAGTGGCCATCTCCCTCGCGATCGCGCTGCTCGCTCCTCGCTCCTGCTCCTCGTGCGCCACACCCGCGCCTATCGCTCCTGGATCCCACAGTCCCACCCGCCGCGCGCCCACCCGCGCCATTGGGCGCGTCGCCCGCCTCTACTGGTGCCATCACGTGCCTCAGGTTGGTCCCTGTGGGGGGTATAACCCCCGGTACCCACGGCAA